ATTTTTGAACTTTTATGTGTACGAAAAATTAAAACAATTGATATATGATAGTATTCCAATAATCAAAAAGCACATAAAAGAGTGTATAAAAAAGGTTATTCTATATAGATACAAATGAAATTCAATATACAATGCAATGTTTGTATGGTGTGTAATCGCTTTAGAGCACATATCTCGATGCTCGATGCCACTATATTGAATATTTCCAATAGCAGTTTGTATATTAGCAAATATATTATTAGATCATTAGGTATGAAATATCCGATTTCGAATCAAAAGTTTAGTTTATTATATCTCAAACCAGAAACAATAAAATTAATCAAAGTATGCGCCTAAAGTGTCGACACAGTTCTGTTATCTTAACAGTAGCTTATTCATGCCAGTAGCGAAGAAACCTGAAGAGCGAGTGATGATGAAATCGCGGAAGGTGTTTTCCACAGTTTGTCGAGAATTTAATATTTTTCCTTACAAAAAGTTCAGTGCCTGGAAGAACTGGTAGACAGTTGATGCAAGGTCTAGTGAATATGGTAGGTGATAGACAGTTTTGAAATCCAACTCCTATAGTTTGAGTAGCGTTGTTTGTGCGGCACATAGTCGAATGTTATCTTGCAAGAGGATTGGCCTGTTGAGCATCGGCTGCTTAATCGCAAGCATCCTCATCATTTCGTCCAGTTGGTTACAGTAGACATCTGCTATAATCGATTGACCAGGTTTTATGAAGCTGTGGTGGACAATATCAGCGCTGGACCACCAAACAGGCACCATTAGCTTTCTTTTGTCAATATTCGGTTTCTGACTGTGTTTCGGCACTTCATCTATATCTAACCATTGTACCGGACACTTGCGATTGTCGAAAAGAATCCATTTTCCATCACACGTAATAATACGATGTAAAAATGGTTTATATCGTATGGCCTTTATATCGTGATAGTAAAGAAAGGCAAGTTTCGAGACGATTTCTCTTCTGACGCTCGTTTAATTCATGCGGAATCCGTCTATCCAGCGTCTTTACCTTGCCGATTTATTTCAAATGATCCAATATCGTTGGAATAGTAACGTTAAACCTTGCTGCTAATTCACACGTAGTTTGAGATGTATCCGCTTCCACTACAGCTTTCAGCTCATCATTATCCACCTTGGTCTCGGATCGCCTACGTGGCTCATTTTCAAGATTAAAATCGCCAGAACGAAACTTCTCAAACCATCGACGTACTGTGCGTTCATTAGTCACATCTTCACCAAACACTTTGTTGATATTTCGAGTTGTCTGCGCTGTGCAGACACTGTGCTCTGCGAGTGTCAGCATTGGTTTCATGACGGAACTCAAATTCTAAAATTACACGAATTTTTAGCTTATCCATGGTTACATAAAGATTGTTGTAACAAATACTTTTTGAAAGATAATCACAAACTAAAATATTCGTTTGAAAGAGTGATGATGTACCTGCACAAGAAAAAAAACCGAGAACTGTAAAGATAAAATCTCAGAGATATCGACTGTAGAACTTAGTACCTAAGGAAATCGGACATTTCATATTTAACTAATAAAAAGCTATTAAGATTACTTAATGACAACATCAACTTCTACAAGCTAATCACCTAATACTTAATACTTAATCGCTCAATCTATTCAATCGAAGTAAATTATTTTCCCTCGTAGTTTATTTTCACGACGTTGAATGATCTTACACCATAGGGCATTGCAAATACTTTAAAACACTTTATTAAAAAGTAAATAAAAAAAGTATATCATTCTACTTAAAAAACGAAGCGGATTTCCAACTCAGCTGCACTTTGAAAATTTTAAAAAAGAAAAAAAGTTATTAAGATCACTTAATGACAACATCAACTTCTACAAGCTAATCACAAAATTTATAACATTATGAGTTATTTCAGGAGTGACTTAAATATATTTAAAACAAGAAATTTATTCTATCTTCACTCATAACTTTCTTTTATTGTCATTATTCAAAAATATGATAAAACTCCAGATTAGGGGACACCTCGCTGATGACATTGACCTTCACATATATGATAGAGGTCATCTTCCTGAGTAACATTCCAAAGGTTTAAGGCGACGATCTTTGTTTATTAAAAAATAATTAATAAAAGAAATTTCATAAATAGAATATAATTTTCTGACACTGTGTACATACTTAAGGAATGAGCACATGCTATACATGTCCTATACATGAAGTTTTAACCCGCGCTCATTGCTTATAACAAAGTTATGAACAAAAGAAGTTTCATGAATTTTTTCATACAATTAATCCAAACAGTGTATACAGGATGTCTCAGAACATTGGCACACGGGCTCTGTAGGGACATAGAGCTAAGTGAGAGGAACAAAAAAGTCCTCTACCATAATGTGAAAATCGTAATAGTTTTTTAATTATAGCAGCACAAAGTTAGGCATTTTCCACGCCCAGCACGGCCTATAGACGCTCCGCGGCAAGTTGTATGCGTAGGGGCTGAGCGATAACGCATTTCGCGCTGACTGTCGTGATGGCGTCTTGGCGCTTTGACCCCGTCAAAGCTTGGAGCTCGTATGCCAAAGTTCTGAGACACCCTGTATATAGAAATGTAGGAAACAATACATGGTGAAAAGACGAGAAAATTAATCGACATGAAATGTCGAAAATCTATATTGAATTTTTGAAACTTCTTTTGTTCATAACTTTTTAATGAAGAGAGACCGCTACCTGAAATTTTTTTAATGTTACTCAGGGACATGTCATTCACAACATATGTGAAGGTCAAGGTCATCCGCGAGTGTCCTTTAATCTGGAGTTTTACCAAAAATATTTATCATTCAGCAAAACATGAATGTTTTAGAGTATCATTAATTACATTGATATGAATCTATTGGGTGTGTAAATATGACTCCGCCCTTTTTTGTTAAAATAAAACACATTTGCTTATTTAGAAAATTAAAGAAAAGTTTATTGAAAGTATGCTCCATCTGCAGCTACAACCTTCGCCCATCTTTCAGGTAATTTATGTATTCCTTGCCTGAAGAAGTCCTGGTCTTTTGAGCTGATCCAATTATAAAGCCAAATTTTGATACTTTCGTATGAAGTGAACCGTTCTCCCGTAAGATCTGACTGCATTGTCCGGAATAAGTAGTAATCTGAAAGAGCTATGTCTGGCGAATATGGCAGGTGGAGTAGCACTTCCCAGTCCTGTCCATCTAAAGATCTTTTCACGACTTCTGCGGTATGCGGTTTGACATTATCATGCTGAAGAATTAATTTGCTGTGCCTATTCACCCATTCTGGCCGTTTTTCTTCTATGGCTCGCTTCAAACGCATTAGTTGTCGTCGGTAAACTTCTCCTTTAATAGTTTGGCAACAATCCTCTGTCAATAATGCTTCCAATTCAGCATCTTCAAATTTTTTTTGTGGTTTCCCATGTTCCCTGTCCTCAGTTCCAAAATCATTATTTTGAAATCGTCGAAACCATTCCTTACAAGTTGTATTAGATGGAACATGATCACCGTAAATCTCCACAAGCAAACGATAAGTTTCCGCTGCACTTTTCTTTGCAATAAAATAGTGTAATAATACTTCCCACAAATGATGTTTGTTTGGAACGAAAACCGACATTTTCAAGTAGAGTAAAACACTTGTTGCTTACCATACACTTAAACCAAATTTCACGTAGTGCGTTTGAAAGTTGACATGAAGTACTATCGAATACAAGTGTTGCCAGTTATTAGTACACGTTAACAATACTAAAAGCAACATCTGTTGGGAAAGGGCGGAGTCATATTCACACACCCAATAGTAAGCAACTTGATTAAAAAAAAAAGTCACAATACAGTTGTTTTGTACTTCGTTTGTACCCGTTTATATAATTTTCCGTTTATATCTCAAAAAATAAAAAAATATAAAAGAGGGGAAAAAGAGACAATAGCCAAAAAGCAAATATAAAATATTTGAAAATTAAAAAACCTAAACGGACAATGTTATCCGAAATAGTATCCATTTGTAACTATCTTCAAATCGTTTGTACTTCAAAAGGATCGGAAGTACAGGTTTTTCAAAATTTGAAGAATTTCGCCAATTTCCATCTAATCCATTACTTTCGTCAATTTTTAAGATATCACATACAAAAGAGCATCGTTTGTATCTGTTTGTATCTCCTTTCAAACCGATTGTACTTCAAAAGGTTCCAAAATATAACAATGTGTAACGTATGTATAAAATATATATTTAATGCAGCAATATTGCTATTTATTAAGACATTCGAAAAAGCGTCATTTATACTCGCTTGTATCTCCTCAAATCGTTTGTACTTAGAAGGAACCGAAAGTACATCTAAAAAATTGGTGAAAATATTTCTTGGATATATTTTGAAAATTCAGTACTTTCGGCCTCTTTGAGATACTGCAAGGTAAAACGATTTAAAAAGGAGTACAAACAAATACAAAGGATGCTCTTTCAGATAGGGTTAGCTGTTCTCGAATATCTTATACTTGTTTGCTGGCTATTTTCTCTCCCTCTCCTATTTTTTTATTCTTTGAGATACAAACGAAAAACGGAAAGTGGTATAAACAGGTACAAAATACAAACGAATCTTATTGCGATTTTTTTCTGCTCAAGTTGTTTGTCTAATATTAATCACTACTATTTTCTCGTTACATTATTGACATATCTTCTGAATTTACATTTTATTGTGATTTTACAGAAGTTTTCATATACAGAAAGATTCAAGGCAATCATTTGTATACTACAGCAGGAGAAAAAATTCTTCAGTATATTTGTCGTTATACACGCGCACACACATAAGAACACACATGCACACATGGATATAAAAATAAAATGAAATAAAAAGTAAAAAAGATGAAAAACTTATATAAAAAATTTAAAAGCAGCCATAATATTAATACAAATATTCGACTTCGTTCTGCATGTTCTGCAAATGCGTTAGTTTGTATCATATTATGTTATTGTAGAATAACACTTGTATTAATAATATATTACTTCTTGTTAGAAAAGATGCCATGTCAGTCTCAAATCCAAATAGTATTCATTTCAAAACATTTTTTTCTATCATCAAAAGTAAACGAATTATTCAAGTGGCTCTAAGTATCTTATCCTGTATACACACACACACACACACACACAAACACACAATATCTATTTTAGTAAATTATGATTCGCACAGATGCTCGGAGGATACTCTGCTGCTGTCACAGGAACAGGAAAGAACACTACGAGCGGAGGATGCTTCATGGGATGACGATATAATCCCTGATTTGAAGATTCTCGCACTTCGCGTCATAGTGTCGACATGGAAGGATAATCCTGTTCTGAAAGATCTATCGACATGCGCTGACAAGGACGTGTTGGTGGAAACTCTGCCGACCGATCTTCCCTTTGAATTGACGATAACGAGAATCGACAATGATTTTTATTGGGAACGGGCAGCCAAAGACAGGTGAATGATGTCGTGTCTATCGATTTTCGATCATGTAAGGCACCATTACGCAATATGGTGTGCTCTATTGCTAATTCACGTGACACGATTACCCAATGACAGATATATGAGCAATTATGTTTATAAATATGAGGCAATTTTCATTATTCCCGCAGGTGGAAGCATAACGATCTGACCGAGCACGGCGGCTCATGGCGGCGATTATACTGCGAGCGTCACTTAGTCGAATACTTGGAAACTTTGGAAGCCAGCTACTTCGAAGCACAGAGAGAAGAGTGCGAGAAGCTAATGACTCTCGTAAAAAACTACGTACACGTCATAAGACTTCATTGTCTTATGCCGACCAAGTGAGATCACCTGATTCCATATTTTAGCATCATTTTTTCAAAATGAGAGACCTCGTCAAAATTATTTCGTAGGATTTAATTAGAATCTATTGATTTTTCGAAATCTACATAAATTTAAATTAGAAGTGTAATAATGTAAAAAAGCGAGAACTAAACCTAAAAGTTTTTTAACTTCTTCGATCTTTATTTTATATACATACATAAGAATTTTATTTTTAATTATTATTCTGTTGAATACAATTGTTGGTACAAAACAGAATTCCTTGTTTGATATCATAAAAATATATTGATATTACTGAAAAAAATGACCTCTTTGAAATTAATAAAACTAAATTGGCAAAGTCAAATCGCACCTATTTCATATTTATTTTATAATAATTTATAATTAATTAATTAAAATTTTAATTAATTAAAATTTCATAATCCTTGCTATTTCGAAAAAAGAAAAACATGACATTGCTAACTTCATATGAAGTTAACAGTGCTACAACAAGAAAAAGAAATAAAAAACCGAATTACAAAGAACAGAATTTTATCTGTACAATGATTGATTTATACCATCAAACAAAACTTATATTCAATTTCGCGTAAATAAATTTCTGTTGTATTCAATTATGTATATTAAACTCAAGAGTAAAATAGGGAAAAGTTGCCGATATCGTATTAGTTCCTAAATTGCACCATTTTCATGTTTTATAGAATCCGAAGGTCTAACGCCATTTGCATATTATAGAGGGAAATGAGTGTTTATGCATGAAAGTGTCTTGTTAAAAAGAGCAAGTAAAGGTTTTCCTTTTGTTTTTTTTTTAAGTAAATTTTGCCCGCTTTTTATATAAGGCATTTAGAAAGTTTCAAAAGTTATATTAATTTAATTGCTTTTTTATCATTTTTATACCATATTAAAATTGACATATTCATATGGCATAGTTTGGACATAACTTTGTATGTCCAAACTCTGTGTGTATTTTATACACAGAGTACAGTATACACAGGGTTTGATCATACAAGGTTATGTTCAAATTATGCCATGTCAATATATCAAGTTTAATATAGTATAAAAATGATAAAAAAGCAGATAAATTAATACATTTTTTGAAATTTCCTAAATGCATAATCTTTGTAAATCTAAATCATAATCTTTGTATGTCCTTACTCTGTATATACTTTACTGCCGTAATTTAAAAAAAGGACTAATCTCTTAAATCATATCACTTATTAATTCCCTATATTGTACCGGCACAATTTAGGAATTTCCAAGAAAAATTATATCTATGACTATTGTTCTTAAAATGTATAGAAAGTAGTTTATTTCTTTTTTTTGTGTTACCTAAATTTATTTTTTATTTTCATTGAATAACAGATTTTCGGTTTCTTTTCCAAAATAACACGAGTTAAAAAATTTTGATAGTACAAATCAGTACAAAAAGAATACTAAATAATTCAACAAGTGCGGTTTGATTTTGCCAATTTGGCTCTGCTAGCTTCAGAGAAATAAAAAAAAGTGCGAGTTTTCATAATATTTTTGTTTCAATTCTAGGTATAGAATCCATGTCTAGAATAAGAATGGTATTTTCGATTAGTATCGAAAATTGGTATCGTCTCAACGGATGACCAATCCGACAATTGGGACAAACTGGAACAAAATTTAGAAATTCTAACCAAAATCTATGTTATATCTAAGGAAATTCCTGAAAAATTTTTATGCGGGACTCTTATCTTCGATGAGAATTTTATTGATCTCGTAGAAATTTTTAGTTCGGGATCAGAATTACATAGTTATGTTGAGTTCAAGAGAAAATATTTATTCCATGCCACAGCAAATGTATTTTCTATTCCGAAAGAATGAAACGATCGAAATTAGACATTGTGAATGTTCTCGCTGACGCTTATTAAAACTGATGCTTATTGAAGCATGAGTAAACGGAAGTTCGCAAAAATTTATTGTCGGCTAAAAATTAGATCTATTTATGATCGTATTGGATGAAAGATAACGTTCATGTAACAACGTGTGTGAAGACCTTGCATTGCTTCTCGCTTGCGTCGCATCAAAATCCATAGTATTTACTCTCAGCTTAAAACATCTGAAAATTATTATTAGAACCGGTCAGTTTGTTGGCTAAAACCGTAAGTGCTTGCACTTGAAGATCCAGGAGTGCGATGGACTCCCGCGTAAATATCGCATGAAACGTGGCCAGAGTTCTATAATTGGCTAGAGAGAGGGAATCTAGGAGGCAGATATAATCTTGAACGCACCGGAAAACGCAAATACCGGGTCGCTACTTGCTTTCGTTAGCTGCTTGCGTTATCGTGAAATCATGCGTATGCATTTGTGAATCAAAAAATTTTATAAGGGAAATAAGGAGAATCGCGATAAATTGCAACAACTTGATTACCAAATCGTTGAAGAACTCGTTGAGGTAACTCGAGAATGAACTGGAAATTTGAGCGAATGGAAAAAACAAGTTTCCTGAGAGTTTTCGAGGCAAACAAAAGAAAGTCATATTTGTTTCAAATGCTCATGAAGTAAATATTGGAATACACGTCGATTGTTTTGCCGATGATTATTGTCGCGTATCCAAAACAGATAATTTTAAGTAATTGAAAGCTCACTTCGACACACTTTGCACCAGTGCATGTTTTAACATGTTCATTGTCGGTCACGCGATATCGCGTGTTGCGGCCTCTCACCAAACAGCCGTTTATGAGATTGTTTTTAATTATGAGTGACAAACCAGGACCCTTGAAAAGACTCAGTTCAATGCCAGTTCAATCGTACAAAAAAACAACTAAAAATAAATAAAAGAAAAAATAACTTTGGCTACCACACGAAATTCAAATTTTCAGTCTGACAATGAACGTGTTAAAGGACACCTATTACTAATAATTCCGGAGTCTTTGTGACGCGCAATGCATTCCATTGACGATATATGAGGTCCGATTAACAAACTTGCTTCTTACCGATATAATGTGTCCGTAGTTTCCTCTTCTACAAAAAAATATGAAGTAATGTAGCACAAACTTCAAGGCAATTGGGTTATTAAGTGTACAACATTGCTTCCGCCGTTTTCCTGTAGATGGCTTCAACGGTAAGCAGTGGTCGAAACAAATAGATCATAGACGTCATGCAATAAACTTGGGCATCTGTCAACATAACTCCATAGAAACATTAGCCGATTCGTGTCTGCATCATAAAGTTATTCTTGATTGAAAATGTCAGTTTACGAGCCAAATTCTCGTCATTTGCGGGAGGTTTTAATTTTCTGTTTCAATATAAAGAAATCTGCGGCTGAGGCTCATCGAATGCTCTCAAATACTTATGGTGAGGCCGCTATTAGTGAAAGAACGTGTCGTGAGTGGTTTCAACGCTTCAAGAACGGTGATTTTCACGTCGAAGACCGGCATAGCGGTGGAAGAGAGAAGGTTTTCGAAGATGCAGAATTGGAGGCATTACTTAATGAAGACTCGTGTCAAAGTCAAGAAGAATTGGCACGATCATTGGGAGTGACTCAACAAGCAATTTCAAAACGCCTCAAAGACATAGGAATGATTCAGAAGCAAGGAAATTGGGTGCCGTACGAGTTGAAACCTAGAGATATTGAACGGCGTCTGTTTGCTTGTGAACAGATGCTTGAAAGGCAAAGACGGAAGGGATTTCTGCATCACATTGTGACTGAGGACGAAAAATAGGTTCATTACGATAACCCCAAGTGCAGAAAATCATGGGCAAATCCCGGCCATGCTTCCACGTCGACGGCCAAACCGAATATTCACGGCTCCAAGATCATGCTCTGTATTTGGTGGGATCAGCTCGGCGTAATGTATTATGAGCTGTTAAAACCGACTGAAACAATCACAGGCGAATCGTTATCGAACGCAATTAATGCGTTTGAGCCGAGCATTGAAAGACAAACGACCGCAATACAACGAGAGACACGATAAAGTGATTTTGCAGCATGACAATGCTCGACTCCATGTTGCGAAAGTGGTCAAGACATACTTGGAAACGTTGAAATGGGAAGTCCTACCCCACCCGCCGTATTCTCCAGACGTTATTCCCTCTGACTATCACTTGTTTCGATCAATGGCACACGGCCTGGTTGACCAGCACTTTCGGTCTTATGAAGAAGTAAGAAATTAGATCGATTCGTGGATCGCTTCAAAAGATGACCAGTTTTTTCAACACGGGATTCGTACGCTGCCCGAAAGACGGGAGAAAATAGTGGCCAGCGATGGACAATACTTTGAATCATAAATGTATAACCAATTTTTTACAATAAAGCCTCGAATTTCGGAAAAAAACAGCAGAAGCAAAGTTGTACACCTAATAGTACTATTTTTTAGTTTACAATCTGAAACTTCTATTCTGTATCGATTGGATATCGCTGCATATAGATGCGCATTAAGTACGATCACATGTCAGCTCCATATTGACAAAACGCATGCTTCAGAAAATTTCATTTAGCATAAAATAACAAACAATTCATTGTATCTATTCTTTCACCAGTGAAATTTTCAACACTTAACATCCATCCCCCTCTTTTATTCATTGCCTTTCTTTCTCGACGATTACGTTTTAAAAGAAAAAAATTGTTAAAATAAAACCTTGCAATTGGCTGAAAGAATTGGATGCATAATATGTCACATTCGGAAGATTCTATTTAATCATGAGATACCTATTTAATGCTGAAGAATTCAATTTGATTTAGGTCTCATTTAATTGTCGCGCTTCCATAAACATTTACAATACTAACCTTCCCTCTCTTCCAACTACCCTCCTTCCCTGCCTTTCTCTCTCTCTCTCTCTCTCTCTCTCTCTCTCTCTCTCTCTCTCTCTCTCTCTCTCTCTCTCTCTCTCCCTCTCCCTCTCACTCTCCCTCTCCCTCTCCCTCTCCCTCTCCCTCTCCCTCTCCCTCTCCCTCTCCCTCTCCCTCTCCCTCTCCCCCCCTCTCTCTCTCTCTCTCTCTCTCTCTCTCTCTCTCTCTCTCTCTCTCTTTCTCTTATTAAGCTATAAAACTCGCTTGATAACGAAGTTCTTTGAAAACGTGTCTCTTTGCGACTCGGCATTA